CTCTGATTAATTATATACACGTTTTAATTAATAGGAAGTGAGGATATTTATTTTTAATGCAACATAAACTAAATAGACTTTGATAATTTTTAATTTTGGTAAGTATGCATAATGATAATGTTTCTTTAAAATTGGGTCATTTTTATCTTCGCGGAATTAACATTAAAAAGGATGAATATAAAGCATTCACTCATTTCAAAGAATCTGCTGATATCAAGGAATTAATAGTCTTGGTTATTGTTACGAATATGGAATTGGAGTTGAAAAGGATGAAAACAAAGCATTCACACATTATCAAAAATTGGCAGAAATGAATAATTTTAACGGAATATATCTAGTTGGTTATTGTTATAATTTAGGAATTGGCGCCGAAATCGATAAGCACAGCGTTTACATATTATCTGAAGTCCGTTGAGGCTGGTAATTCTATGGGAATTTGGAAAACTTCCGTTTGTTACAGTCTTGGAATTGGCGTGGAAGAGAATTATTCTAAATTTAAGGAATGGTTTAAGAAGTAGTTAATTTTTTAATTTTTTTTATTATAATAATTTGTAATTCTTTATTTAAAATTGAGATCTCTTACACAATTTTTAATTATTAGGGAGTAGGTATAAAGTGTATTCATCAATCTATATCGGCAATTTAAGTTCATAATTATTTATTTATTATTGGTTATTTTAGCCCGTGAGTATAAAAAATTTAATAATTTTTAGAAATAAAAACAAGTTCACAAAATATGAAATACTTATTTATCATTACAATAATTTAGTTAGTGAGTATAAAGAACATTTAATAATTTTACGAAATAAAAACAGCAAAACAAGTTCACAAAACAAGAACATAAATACTTATTTACCATTACGTACAAATCATTTCATTCGCATTAACCATTTCATTCAGCACGTGAGTGCAAAGAACATTTAATAATTTTACGAAAAGCAAGTTCACAAAACAAGAGCATAAATACTTATTTACCGACGTACAAATCATTTTATTCGCATTAATCACTTCATTCAGCACGTGAATATAAAGAACATTTGATAATTTCTAGAAATAAAAATAGCAAAACAAGCTCACAAAACAAATACTTATTTTACTATTATGTACAAATCGTTTCATTCGCATTAATCACTTCATTCAGCACGTAAGTATAAAGAACATTTAATAATTTCTAGAAATAAAAACAGCAAAACAAGTCCAAAAAACAAGAACATAAATACTTATTTACCATTACGTACTAATCATTTCATTCGCATTAATTTAGTCCGTGAGTATAAAGAATATTTAATAATTCCTAGAAATAAAACCAGCAAAACAAGTTAACAAAATAAGAGCATAGATACTTATTTACCATTACGTACAAATCATTTTACTCGCATTAATTTAGTGGGTAAGTATAAAGAACATTTAATAATTCCTAGAAATAAAACCAGCAAAGCAAGTTCACAAAACGAAAATAAATATTTATTTATCATTACGTACAAATTATTTCATTCGCATTAATTTGTTAGTGAGTATAAAGAACATTTAATAAAGTCTAGAAATATAAACAAGTTCACAAAACAAGAACGTAAATACTTATTTACTATTATGTACAAATCATTTATTCAGCATGTGAGTATAAAGAATATTTAATAATTTTACGAAGTAAAACAGTAAACCAAGTTCACAAAACAAGAACATAAATACTTATTTATCATTACGTACAAATCATTTCATCCGCATCAATTTAGTCAGTGAGTATAAAGAACATTTAATAAATTCTAGAAATAAAACAAGTTCATAAAACAAGAACATAAATACTTATTTACTATTATGTGCAAATCATTTCATTCGTATTAATCATTTCATTCAATGAGTGAGTGAGTATAACATTTAATAATTTTACGAAATAAAAACAGCAAAAACAAGTTCACAAAATAAGTAAATAAATACTGTACTTATTTACTATTACGTACTGTACAAATCATTTCATTCAGCCCGTGAGTATAAAGAATATTTAATATTTTTACGAAATAAAAACAGCAAAACAAATTCATAAAACAAGAACATAAATACATTTACCATTTCATTCGCATTAATTATTCATTCAGTAAGTGAGTATAAATAATTTCTAGAAATAAACCAGCAAAACAAGTTCACAACACAAGAACATAAATACTGTACTTATCTAAAATTACGTACAAATCATTTCATTCGCATTAATTTAGTATGTGAGTATAAAAACCTTTAATTATTTTACGAAATAAAAACAGCAAAACAAGACATGGATACTCATTACTATTATGCACAAATAATTTCATTCGCATTAATTTAGTGGGTGAGTATAAAGTACATTTAATAATTTTTGAAATAAAAACAGCAAACCATAAATATTTATTTACCATTACCATTACGTACAAATCATTTCATTCGCATTAATCATTTCATTCAGCACGTGAATATAAAAACATTTAATTATTTTACGAAATAAAAACAGCAAAGCAAGTTCACAAAAACAAGAACATAAATACTTATTTACCATCGCATAAATAATTTCATTCGCATTAATTTAGTCGGTGAGTATAAAATTATTTATTTACATTCGATATAAAATAGATACGAAATAAAACATTATATATTATATAGAGAACCTGAATATGGAAAATGTGCACATTGTAATGAAGTTAACACTTATAAAGCATGGTGTGTATCATGCGACCCTGACATAACAACAAGGTGGACAAGTGGAAATAAAGATATTGATGATTGCATGAAAACATTCCAACTTAGAGCCCGTGAATATGAAGAAGTGATTGAATGGATTTCATTTAATAAATTATCTGATGTTAAAGAAATTGGTAAAGGAGGATTTGGTTCTTGTATATTCAGCAACCTGGTTGGATGGCATACGAAAAGTTGATGGTGATGATTATAACTATGTAAGAGCGCGTGAATCATCCATTGTCGTTGCACTCAAGACGTTGGCCAGTTCTAAGGAAAATAATGATTTTTTAAAAGAAGTAAGTTGATTTATTGCTTTTGATAATTTATCTAATAATTTTATTGAACTAATTCATTGTTTAAACTTTTTAAGTTTAAAAGTCTTATGGAATGTAAATTAAATTATACCGTATTTTCGCTCATGAGCGTTATTTCGAATTTTGGCCCGAATTAAGCTTAAGATAGTAAGCTTGCAATATATGGAATAACCCAAAACACAGAAACAAAAGATTACTTGATGGTCTTTCAATATGCTGATAATGGAAGTCTTCATAAATATTTAAGAAAAAAATTTGGTAAACTCACATGGCAGGCTAAACTGAAAACACTTGGAGATATTGCAAATGAGTTATATTATATTCACGAATATGCAGGATACATTCATGAGATTTTCATACTGCTGTACTGGTAACATTTTGCAAGATCAGCGCACTAATGAAAATATACGATCTTATATCGCAGATCTAGGATTGTCTAGAAAGGTACATGAGAGTGTTTCAGGTGGCGAAATTTATGGTGTTATGCCCTATGTTGCTCCTGAAGTTTTATCAGGCAAGCAGCAGTTTACAAAGGCAGCAGATATTTATGGGTTAGGTGTTATTATGGCGGAATTGTTAACTGGTCAAAGACCTATTGATGGACATAAATTTGATGTAAAACTTTCAGTAGAAATTTGCAGAGGATTGCGGCCAGAATTTGCACCTAGAACTCCTAAATGCTATATTGAATTGGCTGAGAAATGCATGAATTCTGATCCACAAAAACGACCTAGCGCGTGGGATGTTTATAAACCAATAGATGATTGGCTTAAGAAGATAGCTAGTTCAGATGATAATTGAAATTAAAGAGCAATTCTTAGATGCTGATAAAGTTATTAAATTATTGCCAATACCAAAGCATCCTGATGAAATGTACACTAGCAAAATTATTAGCACGAAATTAATCTCAAAGGCGATTAAATGATTAATGCGAATGAAATGAATTTAAACGTAATGGTAAATAATTTTATTTATGTTCTCGTTTTGTGAACTTGTTCTTTATTTTTAAAATTTATTAAATTCTTAATACTCACGGGCTAAAATAACCAACAATAAATAAATATTTATGAACTTAATTAAATTGCTGATATAAATTGATGAATACACTTTATACCTACTCTCTAATAATTAAAAATTGTGTAAGAAATCTCAATTTCAATAAAGAAATTACAAAATATTATACTAAAAAAATTAAAAATTAACTTACTTCTTAATCCATTCATTAAATTTATCCTCATTTTTTTCCACGCCAATTTCATAATAGTAACAAATAGCAGTTTTCCGAATTCCATTGGAATTACCTGTCCCAGCGGACTTCAAATAATACGAAAACGCTTTATGCTTATCGATTTCGACGCCAATTCCTAAATTATAGCAATAACCAATTTGATACATTCCGTTAGAATTATTCACATCTGCTGATTTTTGATAATGCGTGAATGCTTTGTTTTCGTCCTTTTCAACTCCAATTCCATATTCGTAACAATAACCGAGTTTGTAAATTCCGTCTGGATCGTTCGTATCTGCCAATTTGACAATCTGCGAAATTCAGTTTATTGAAACCATCGTTAAATTTTCATTTGACATTTTCGATCAAAAAAAAAAGGATACGTATCACAATTTGCTGTTGTTACTGTTTTTTTATTTATTTACGTACGTACGTACGTAATTTGAGTTTAAAAAAAGAAACTGATAATCAGTACATTGTTTCGGGACTTTCCTAGGCCTGATAATACTTATAGTAATTGATTTCTGTACATAGTATTGCAAATTAAAAAAGTATAAAACAGTCGAAAATTCTTGGGAAACTTAGCCCTATAAAAAGATATTGCATTATCTAAACTAATTTGTAAAAGATCACCGGTTGGCTTTGGTAATTTTCATTGTTTTGTGTTTAGTTACACGAACTTTCGAGTACATGTACATGCGTAATAAGTACGTGCGTACTTATATGAGAGTTATTTGGTCAAATCGGTCGATATGGCCTCAACTCCACCGACACTCTGTTTTAACGAAATATTCAAATATCTGCATGGAGATATTTCTTCGCTGCATTCTTGTGCTCTAGTAAACCATCACTGGTCGGAGCACGCCATTCCAGAATTATGGCGCGATCCATTCGTTGTCACACAATATAAAAGTCGTCGTACTAAACTTATTTATTCGTTACTACCTTTTATTGATCGTAATGCCAAACATCAATTTGCACCATCAGCACTTTATCGAACCCCATGCTATAACTACTTGTCTTATATGAGAAATTTTAGCTTCTCAGGACTTATCAAGATCAGTAAGGGAGTTGCACGCGAGGTAGTACCTGAAAACTACAAGAAAAGTGTCTTTAAAAAAGCTATTGATACAAAATTTATTAAAGCACTTTGTCGTGCAATTATCAGCTACTGTCACAATCTTGAGAGGATCGATAACGATTTGACAGTTCCTTTCTTCCAGAATCGATCACATATTAATCAACAGCAATTAGTTGTATCACAATGGAACTTTTTTGAGTTTCCAGGAGCGAAGACATCATTTAGCCGCTTGCGATGCTTATATGTTGACAATCTTAATGGCTATAAAATCATAAATTCAGCAGTTACAGTCACTCCAGAGCTTACAGAAATTAGCATTCGCATGTACAGTAAAAATTTTAAGAATAGGCTAACAACATCATCTTATAAGGAAGAATTGCTTCCAAAGTCATCATTATACTTACTTAAACAGTTTCCTAAATTGGAACGGTTTAACATTGTTGAAGGTCAGAGGACCATATGGAGATTATTTAACGCCAGCACCTTTCTTACTCTTATCGGTCGTAGCCTTCCTACAACAGTCAAACATTTTTGTTTTGATATTAATTGTCAATTTTCTACGTCAGCCCTTAAAGAATTTCTCGATCATGCAGCAAGTAATTTAACATCGTTATCATTCTCCAAATCCCAAAAATTTTCAGGCGATCATCTTGACGTTATTTGCAAACATAAAGATGTTCATATCGAAATGTTAGATATATCCAGTTCAAAAATAAGCGATAATTCTATCTTAAATGTGGCAAAAGCACAGATCTCGATGGTTCGTTTTGATAATACTATGAAGGGACAAACACTTAATCCAGAAGATAAATTTCAAGACCTTGATGATCCATACTTTAGACGTAATTGGAGTGATTATTATAATGATGCTCGTGATAGTAGTGATTTTGAAAATGACAGTGATTTTGATAGTAGTGATCTTGAAGAGAATAATAATAATAGATTTGTTTATCTATGGAATGTCTTAGAGTATGATGATTATGATTATGATGATTATGATTATTATGATGATTATGAATATAATTGGTCTGATTGAATGTTTTCGAGTAGGGAAGTCGTTGTATAGTAATAGATCCGTTAACTCTATTAGAGGTCAGAGTTGAAAAAAAAGGAACAGTTTGTATCTTATTTTTTCAAAAGGTAGCAAATATTATTTATTTAATAAAATGATCATTTTTAGAAAATCGGATCTAAAAAATTTCTTTAATTTAATCTATTGTATTTGATGAACGTATCGAGTGCAATATATATATATATATGAATATAAGAATGTACTTTAAACTATTTGGATCCGAATAAATCAGAACATTCACATTAAATGCTACCTAATTAATCCAGATAAAAGTGTTTGAATAACCATAGAGGGCTTGAATTGTAATTGACTATTTTTTTTTTTTTTACCTTTTTCAAGAAAGGTTAATTTAATTATCGTACACTTCGTGGATAATAACTAGTTCTTCTATACGATATTTTTTAATTAAAAGTGATGTATTTACAAAGTTTAGCTTTATATAAGATACAAACTTTTATTCATCTTTTTAGCTAGCAACTTTTCCAACAATTCTAACTAGTTAAAACAATGTAACTCTTAAATATATGTTAGGTTGTAATTAGCAAAAGCAACTTGTACCAACAAATAGTCAATTAAATACAATAAACACAAAATGATAATTTTCAAAAGATATCTAAACCTAATGTAGTTAGTTTTTCTAATTTGTTTAGCAATATGAGGTTCAGATACATCAATCTAATAAATACTGTATTAGATTTCTGATTCAATGCAAAAGTGAGATGCTTCATCTGTAACTAGACATGTATAACACCCTCAATTCAATTGCCGACAAAATTTCAAGATTTAAACCTTTCGAAGCTCTCCAAACTTTTTCCACTCAGAAAGAAGATATCAAAAGAGAACGTGATGAATATCACGTTCTGAATTTTACAGCTTTATAATTATATTTAATATACGTTAGCATTGAATTTATATTACCCGCTATCTGCTATGTGAGATGGCAAATGTTTTAAAACACGACCTTAAAAATCATGTTTGATTAAATCTGTTAAAAAATGGTTTAATACATTATGATGTAATTCTGATTCAAATGTATAATAGGATTACGAAATTTAAAAAAAAAAAGAAAAATCAAGTTCGTGGAAGATCCTCGTCAAAAGAAATCCGGTTAGACTTTACAAAAATTGCTGAACCTGACTAATATGATCGAAACACTCTCCAAAAATGGAATTATTGCGATGAAGACTGTGTTGATGTAGTTGACCAATTAAAAGGTCATTCATTAAAATGTAAAAAACTTCCAAGAAATATATAAGATTTGTTAAAAACTTAAAAAAACAGGATTCTGATACTTCAAATAATATTCGCAAAAACTTATTCAATGGGTTTACATATTGGCAATATTGTAAACCTTGGACTTTCAATACCAACAAATGTAAAACTGACATAGAATGAAAGGTTGTATTGGCCGACAAGCAAATTTCGCATTTAAATAATAGCTATCAATAGCTTTGATAAAAATTAAACCGAACAAATACATATTAATTTTTTTATAATATCTGATAAATTCAAATTATATAGCAACGTCTTTTTTAAAAAAAAGTTCTCAGCTAAATAATTAAATTTAATTAATCAGAAGCAATATTTTCAGTTTCGGCAAAATTTTATCTCAGACTTCGATGTTTTTAAAAAGGTTTACTGTAAAACAATAAAAAACGGTTAAAAAACTGTTTAACCCGTTTTTTACCACCCTAACTGCTATATAGAAAAATAAATTAAAATTATGAGTATAATAAAGGTTTTCAAAGTTAGCGAAAATAGCGCATTTCAAAATAAATTAAAATTATGAGTATAATAAAGGTTTTCAAAGTTAGCGAAAATAGCGCATTTCAAAATAAGTATTTCGAAATTACAATTACGAATGACAAATAGAAGAACCTAAAATGGGAGAATTCCAAGATCCTTATCTTACAAAATAAATTTTTAATTTGCTCATGCACATGATTAGTCTTATGTAATTTAGAAAATAGTTGACAATAAAATTAATCAGAACCACCCTGGCATCGCCCAAAAATCAGTTACGTACGTAACGGCACTTAACAACAAATTAATGTACAATAATTTAAATGGCACAAAATTAAAATATGGAAATTCATATATCAATAAAAGATAAATCACATATTTAATTTTATTATGCTTTAAAACATTACATGTTTGCGCAATGAAATATATCCTATTAAAGAAATTATCCACCGAGTATTTCATAGCTTGAAATGTTTTAAATTATTGCATAAATGTTTCTTTGAAAAAGCACTAATGCCAATAGAAAGTATTTGAAATACGCCTACTCCATTTTTTACTTAATTTTTTGCATCGAATTCCTCCAAGTTCTTTACCATTTTTTTGATCAAAGTTTTTTCAACCACATTTAGCCATTTGTTTTGTTGGGGAAGATTTGATTATTTTCAATAAATTTTACTATCAAAAAAAGTTTATTTTGTTATAATAAATAACACCTTTTTAAGTATTGTGTTCAGTTCAATTGCTTTGTTAATTGGGCTGGAGCGGAGGGAAACGGAGTGTAAGTCCTTTCTATGCTCTACTAATTTGGGTCGATGTCCGGCTCCC